AATGCACGACCAGGTGTGACCACTTGACAGGCAAACTTTGAACATTTATCGTGGACTATCCCTCTCAACATTTGTCTAATATTAATGAGTTTGTTCTCATGTCTTAGATAATCTACTTCCTATAGGAATAGAATCTACCTCAATTAAATATATAGTCAAACAAGTTATTGAGAAGACAGTTTTTGTTTCTTTAGAGGAAAATATACTCTCAAACGTAAACGTTTGAAGTTTCTAACATCAGAGAGACATTTTGAGATATTGGCCTGATTTTTATTCCAACATAAACCATTACAAGGACCTGTTTAAAACTTAAACAAAACTGACAAGATGAACTAGCACCCATTGGTTAACATTTATCAAATAATATTGATTGTTAAATGATAGTCTGAAGGTGCTTTGGGATATTTCTAAAAATCATCTCCTATGTCTAGCTTAGCCATAAGTGCCTCTCAGATATAATCTGTAATACATTTTCATTAATGTCACATTGCACAACTTATTTTTCACAAAATGTCTTCATTTACTGATAATACATTATATCGCCAAATTATCTATATATATTTATATGTATTCGTATGTTTTTGAGAATGAAATGATTTAAAAATCAGAATATAATAGCACTTTTAATAGTGTTCACCAAATGACATGGTAAATCTGCACATACATGCACTTGCAAGGACACGAAATGAGTAAAATGACTAATATATTTAATATAGCCAATTTTAATTATTTATGATGAATTGCTTTTAAAATGGATGCATTAAAAGTGTAAACATTTTGATATGGTCATTATGTATGTGCATGTATTTGCGTGTGTGTAAACCTTAAAATGACTAAAATACTAGATTGCCTTATTTTATGAAGCTTGCCGGGAATAAGACACCAGGAAGGACATAAGGAACATGGGGGAGCATTTTAGTGAACATCTGAAATGGTTCCCATTACAATTAAAACTAGTTGACTGAGGATTTAATGATTAACATTATTTTCTATCTGAATTTAAATATTTTTCTCTTTGAAATTTAGAAGTAAACTTTTGAGGTCAATGAAATGATCATTAAAGATGTTATTTATTTATTTATTTATTTATTTGTCTACTAATAATGGGACAGAATCTAGTTGTTACTGTTAAATGTATCTGCCACCGAAAACCTGAAAAACAATGCAACTGTTATAAGGAAAAGCAATGCAACTGTTGTAGGGGTGTTTACCAAATAGGAACTATTCAAATCAGTAGAAGATGTAATAGAAGTCTGCGGTGCAGTGGTGCAGCCTTTGAAGCGATCTTGTTTGTAGAAGCATTGCTGGGAGTCAAGGCTGTTGCTGTTGTCTAAGATTTGCTTCTGTCAGCTGATTTTTTGGAGCAGCCACTTGAGTCGATGATCAATTGGAATCCACCGAATTGCCCAAACTGAATCCACAGAGAGCAACTGAGCCGGTTGACTGCGTAACTTCACCTTTTTGGGAGGCTTCGGACCCATCACATTTTTCTCTTTTTTGGTGGCATTTTATTCTACAATAAGTCTAAGCAGTTGTAATTGCCATAGGTGATAATATAATAGAATTAATAATTTTCTTTGCCACCAAGCTATAAAGACATGGTAGATAGGAGCAAACATGCTTACATTTTTCATCTTTATCATTTGTTATTGAACTCTTCACAATGCATGTTGCCAATCTATTATCATATACAAGTGTCGGCTCAGCTTAAAATAGGTCAGTTCATCATGGTCATCATAAAATTCATCAACCGTGACATAAAAGTGATAGGCAACCCATTTTTTTTTTATAAATAAATAAAAAGATCTTCCAACCTTCATTAGATACATGGAAGATTAAGAAAAACAAACTGGAGCCTTCACATAGTCACATGCAAAAAGACATTGATAGGCAAACCTTATAAATAAATAAACAGATCCTCCCAACCTTCATTAGATATTGGGAAGATTAAAAAAAACAAATTCCTTTTTTGAAATAAAGAAACAGATCGTCCCAACCTTCATCAGATATTGGGTGATTGAGAAAAACAAACGGTAGCCTACACATAATATGATGGAATCAATTGACGATTCCCATAATCATACTGGAATCAATTGACGATTCCCAACATCAATTGGAATCAATTGACGATTCCCATCCTGACCAGTACTGACAATGACAAAACAGCTGGAGCCTTCACATACAAAAAACATTGATAGGCAACCATTTTTTAATAAATAAACAAATCGTCCCAACCTTCATTGGATATTGGGAAGATTAAGAAAAACAAATTGGAGCCTTCACATAATATGATGGAATCCATTGCCGATTCCCAAAATTTTGACAAGTGCTGACATTGACAGCAAATTATTAATTCATGTAACATAATGTGCAAAGACGTGTCGAGGTTTACGTTGAAATTAAATAAGCACTAATATAATGTCATATTTTTGTGTAACATGTGACATGACATACTGCGGCATTAGCCAGAATCTTTATCACATGCATTCAGTGTTTTCCCTAAGAGCCGGCAATCAGGTAAATTGACCGCTTTAAATGACAAAATTGTTGCTTTAGAATAACAATTTGTTGTAAGATCCACAGAGATTTTGTGATCTCTAATCCTTTACTTTGAAATAAATGGAAAACACTGATGCATAACAATCTATCATCATATGTGCAATGTACTACTTATCATTATTCTCCCATCCAATCAGATGGGAGGCATGGAGGGCAGCACTTTTTATGTTCTGAAGGTACTTCTTCATGAACCGGTGGTCGCAGCTGCTGTCTTCAGGTGAACCCCATCACTTGCCAAGTATTTCATGTCTGGGTTCCAGAAACTGCAGTGGTGCCAAATTTAATTATTGCTGGTGAACTGGTGATATTGATGGTGTAAAAGTTTATTATTGTCAATCACTGTCGCCTACTTGGATGGATGTCTGCTGACCAACTTGAAAGTCGAGTAATATTCTCTTGAGCTGGCTAGCTCGCGGGTCTTGAGACCGCCCCTGGCTCATATTAACAATTTAAATGTATGTTTCCGTAGCCATGAATTATCGAAATCTGGTTCATTCAGTTAAAAAACACAAGCAACTCTTCAAAAAAGGATTGACCTATCTGCACTACAGTGCGCGGTTTGGGATATCAGGTTTTTACCTCCATGCTGACTAATCCGAAATCGATTAAGACAATTGCACAATCCATCAAACTGTTCAAACTGATAACGCATCTGAGGTGGTGTCACAGGAGTAGAAAATATAGCTTTAAATCAGAGAAATTTGAATATCTCTCTAAATTGATTCCAACCTCATGTTTGCATAAAATTAAATTAATTGAGCACTCGATCCCGATCAAACCGAACCCGATCCAAACATGTGTTCGATCCCGATCCAGTCGACCCCACTCTTTTTACATTAAAAATCCATAACAACTGCAATTTTAGTCTAAATTTGTCAAAAACAATGTAAAAAAGATTGTATATAAATCATTTTATGAGACATGAAATTGTATTTGTATGACGCTTATAATTTTGGTCAATTCCTAAATGTATTAGGTTTCAGAAAATTACTTGTTTAAAACCTAAAAATTCTATTTTTTAGAAGAAAAACATTAAAAATAAAAGTAAAAATAATTTTAGTGTGCCCCAGATCGAAAATATTGCTCAATACTTCTTCCATCCCATTGTACGCGTGCGCAGAAAAGTTGAATAAGTTTCCATAGTTACTATGGTTTCAAGTATCCAGGAATAAATGTAAGTAGACCAAATATGTTTACGTTTTACTATGCAAAATTTATCAGCTTCAATTTCCCATGCTTTGCTTCATGTGCTTCTAGTATATGTAAACCCTGTTTAAGCATCTCTGTTTCACACCACAATTGACCATGAATGTTTCTTCACCAATACTTCTTTGACGTCTGCAAATCAACTCCAAGTAATCCAGCAAAGACATATGGTCGTGCAGGCGTTATTATTCATCGTCAACAACAACAAAGAAGACATAGGTTGGTGGGTCAAGCCATGGATTGAGAGGCGCATGTTATTTGGCCAGTATGAAATGCCGTATAACGGGTATTTTCTGCGGTTGGTAAATTTTTGCGATTTAACCTCTGAAAGGAACCAAATTAATTTTTGCGTTTTCAATTTCTGCGGTTGCACTATAACGCAAAAATTATTTACGGGGTAAAGTATAGGATCATCAAACTCTAAGATTTATTACAACACTGCCATTATTACGTTTTGTAAATTCATCCAGGCACATGTTTAAAAGGTGCATGAGAACAGGTATTACACTATTTAACTTGATTAAACTACTTGCTTTTAGTAACTCTTTGTAAAATTATGGCTAGTCCCAAATGAAAATAATTATTGTTGTAATATTACTAATCTACATTTGTCAATTTTTCCATTTGTGCGTTACAATGCCGCTTTAATTGGCAATGCGCACCAATTGTAAGAACAAATTAAAATATAACATCTGTGACATGTTGTTACATATCTCGACAATACTCATTCCAGAAAATACAAGGAGTGTATGATTATGTTGTTTTAGTTAATATTGAAATCAATTTTTTAATCCATATTGAAATCTGTATTTCAAAAGCGAACATTATTTCAATAGTGGTTGCAACCTACGGTCGTCATTGAAAGGAATCTCACCAACTATTGAAATAATTCTTTCAATAGTCATGATAATGGTCGTATTTCAATAGTGTTTACTACCTATGTTTGTTATTGAAATGCCCCCCTCAACCACTATTATTAAAATAATTATTTCAATAATGGTTACTATCTGTGTTTATTTGTTATTGAAATGCACTCTCAACCACTATTGAAATAATTATTACAATAGTGATAGTTTATTCAATAGCGGTTACTACCTGTTTTTGCTATTGAAATGCACTCTCAACCACTTTAGAAATAATTTTAATATAGGTCGTTATTTCAATAGCGGTTGCAACAGTTGTTCATGATTTTTTTTTCTCTCTGTTTTATTGATAGGCAATGTACTCTGTTTTAGGTGACAGTTTGTATTATCACAATGGATGTAAATTTAGCACTAAGGATCAGGACAATGATAAGAGTAGTACTAGACACTGTGCTACAGAATATCACGGAGGCTGGTGGTACAAATTCTGTTACATTGCAAACCTGAACGGACTGTACGCACAATCTGTATGGAATACCTTCATATCTGGAGAAGCGCTGCAAAAGACTGGAATGATGATCAGGCACAAAAACAAGAGTCAACGTTGATTAAGTCCTGTCATTTCTATTATGATTTTGATATTTACTTTTATTAAACAGATAGTATTAGCAACTTTATGTCATTTACTATTCTCAGTACATTACATTTATTTATACTCCTTTTCTTGTAATAGACAGCTAGATATTATGATCTCTCTCAGATCTATATCTTTAATAATTGTTTATTTTTCAAATATTTGACATCTTATACAGTTTGTTCCTAAATATTAAAGCTAATATAATGTATATATAATGTAAATATTGAAGAATTTTATCTTTTTATAAAGTCAAATCATATTTATAGTTAACAGCTTTATTTTTCAAATGTCTTTATTCTATTCAGAATTAAATTTCTTAAGATATTCAGCAAAATCTTTTCAACATTCCATGAAATAATACAAAGATCGGATTAGGTTATCAATATGATATATAAACCCGAATAATAAACTTGTACAAGAACAAGAAGGCAACAATTAATGTGAAAAATTGCAATATTGCAATTACAATTGCAATGGACATCAGGTAAAATAAAAAAAATGTTTGAACAGTTAAAATACTACTCTAGGAAAAGTGTTCTTGTGTATTAGAGATTTCATGTTTGTGCTTGTAGTGCTTTATTTTTTCAAAGCCTGGGGGCAGCAACTCCAACTGTAGACCAAATTTAAGAGGATAGCCCTTGAAAGTTATAAGATGATATGTAAAAGACTGGAGGTACTTAACTTATACTTATGATAGAGACATAGCAGAGTAATAGTATTTCCTGCAAAGAAGACTATCACTTTAAAAGTACTTTACCAGACATCTTTATGATGTCTTATCATAAGTTTAATATTTGTTTTACAAAGCATAGTAGTACATGTACATGGGAACCACTTTTCCAGGTATCTTTATAGTTCGTTTCCTTTTTAAAAAGAACATTTCCTAAAGTATAAGTGATGTTCGAAAAAAAGCTGGGGGAGGGCAGCCCCCTGCCCCCTCCCTGTTGCTACAAGTCTGAAAGAAAATGCTAATCCAGCTTTTGAGGTCTATTTTCAAGTATTGATGTAGAACGGGATGTTTTCTATCATCGTTTAAACTGAAATACTAATCAACAACTATAGAGCAGACGCTCTTACATGCACCACTACACTATGAATTTAAGACATTGATCTATGTAAATTCTATTTTATGTCTAAAAACATTTATTGTTATGAAAGCTATAAATAGTAAATACAAATTTTTAATTTTTAAGGTAGGCCCGTACTTTCAGAATTTTCTGTCAAACTGATATTTTTTTTTTAATTTGAATACCTTGAATAAGTGTTAAACTAACTTAAACAACCTTAAAAGACATATCTTTGCAGGTTAATTTTCATACAATACGTCTCAGAGCACATACCTCTAAAAACTCATCAGCCAAAATTGAACATAAAGAAATGTGATTTCATGTTTTATTTAGTTATGCACCAAATCATATCAAATTTATGTTAAAACTTATGAAAATCAAAAATATCCATTTGCCAAGAGAATATTTTCAATCTTATTGCAAAACATTAACAAATGGACGTTGAATCTGTCCATGTCTTTCAGGAAAAACATCTCAAAATATCTTTAGTTTTTTATAATTCTCAAAATCTAAACTGTTTGGATACCATTTTTTCTTTAAAACTATTGAGAATTATATCTAAAGTTAACAAAAACACATACTTTATTGTGGTTGACCAGAAAATTTTAACAAAACAGTCTTTTGAAGACGTATACCCCCATTTTGAAAATAGATCTCAATTCAGTTTACTGAAATGAAAATAAAAAAAGCTTTAGGTACATAAAATCAATAAAGAATTTTGCGTCTGTGTATATACCAAATGACATATAGATCCTATGGAGGTAGTGCAAAGTGTTAATTTTCGTAAATAATGTACATTGAATGCTTTGTATGCACAATAACACCAAAATAAACAACTATGTACTTGCTAAATAATTTTTCAATCGCCAAAAAAGTTTTATTTCAATAGACAATTGATAATAAGAATTTTATATTGATGTGTAAAATTAAAACCGTATCCGTAAAAGTATGGGCCTTCCTTAAGGACAGGTGATACAAACAAAAAATGGATGCCTGGGTTGGTATATATATTTTTTGACCTAATTTTATTGCATATGATGCAAATAATAAACTTCAGGAATACGAAGAAGTTAAACCTTCTGTGATGTTCAAAAGTCTACCCGTCGCCCGCGTGGCGCAGTGGTTAGAGCGTCTGCTCTAGAGTCGCAAAGCAAGGAGTCAATCCTTAAATTACGTCGCGGGTTCGAATCCCACTAGCTGTGGGACGTGGAGACCGGTCCTTCGCATGAGACCGTATAAATCGAGGTCCCGTGTCGCAGTAGGTGTTGGCACGAAAAAGATCCCTCCCTGCTCCATGGCCCTGAGTGCTGAGCATAGGACAAAATTTGCAGCTCTCAACCGGCAAGTGGTGGCGTCTCCATATTAGTGAAATATTCTCGAGAGAGACGATATTAAACAATATCGAATCAATAAATCAATCAATCAAAATTTACCTTCTGAAACCATCCTTATTATTCTATACAAATATTTTTTAGCTTCAAATTCCATTTTTGTACAACTTTGAATAAAAAATTAAAAACTACGCTGTGAAACCTATTTCTATTCATATAAACATGAACTAAGTTGTTAGTTTCAAAATTTTTGACAAAAGTTTGTTTGTATCATATGTCTTTAAACTAAAAAAAATGAAGTAAAATCCACAAATAAAAAAAAACACGTCAGTATATTGATTTTTTTTTCTCCTTATGAAGGTTCTCCAGTAAAGTCGTGGACAAAGTGTTTATTTCAGAATATAATAGGCACAATCAGCTGAAGTTATCAGCGAATGTTTTATTTTATTTCGGGCTTCATGAAATTTTATTTCTTGACCAACCCGTATTTATATCCCAATAGATGTTACCTTATTTCTTAGATATAGACTGGTCCTACTGCGTACGATAAAAAAATACCCTGAGCTTCATTACAGAAATCATCTGTATTATTTTGAAATAAATTTATTAAATTAAAAGACTGTGGAAGGATTATCCTATTTTTAATCCTCCATCTATTCTGACGTCTTTTTGAAAATTTACCGAGCATTTGAAATGAGAAAGCGGTTAACCCAACACACAAAAAATTGCGACGTTTGATGACCTTACGGTGCATCGGAGAGCACTTTAGTTTGGTTATGATTTAGTTATGGCGCCCTTAGAGACTTTAAATGAATATAAAAGGAAAACAAAATCACCAGATCTTTAGAATAAAATTGAGATGGGTGTTTTTCTATTAATTTTTTTGATTGAGTCCTTGGGTAGAACAAAACATACTGACAAATAGCTATATTTGTAATAGCCGAAGACGCCGTTACTGTAGACCGTAGGTTATTAGTTACATAGTCTTTTAGTGACAGGGTACGGGATGATACCTGGTTAGTAAATTTTATAACTGGCGAGGCGGAGCCGAGTCATGTATGAAATTTACTAACCAATTTTGTCCATAACGTACTAATAAATCTTCATATAGTCCCATCTGTGTGCAATTTGCTTTCTTGTCTGCTTATGCAGGAATTAAGGAGACTCAAGCATATGCACTAATGATTTCCTTAATTTACATGGAATATATCCAACTTTTTTCCAAAAAGAAACGTGACACTGCTTTAGACACTTTGACGTTATCATCCGTGCATTATTTACAGGTATATATGCATAAATCCATTTGAAATTTGCTATTGTTTATTGACGACAAATGTACTAAAAAATGAAAATTTTAGAACACAGTGATGATTCTTTTTCAAACTAGACAATTTGTCCACGATTTTACCGGACAGTCTTCGTTAACAAACAAACGTATGTATCCTACTCTCAGGCGACTATGTTAGCATAATTCAATGTGCATTATCCTGGGTTTCTATTTTATTGCTCCTATATGTTTGAAAAGGAATTCCTATGGAGACAAATGTTATTAAATACAAGAGGCCCATAGAGCCTGATAGGTTAAACGAATATCATGCACATCTTTCCAACAATTTACGTTGGTTCGTGTTTTAAATCAAAGGCTTGAAATATACAACAATGGAAGATTCAACAATGCTAATTATAGCTTTACAATGAGGATGCTTAATGTTGTTACTTTATACTCAGATGTAGATCAGAAAAACAAAGAAAGCAATGCATTTTAACTATATTATTATTAGTGCCCCTCTCTACAGGAACTACTGACCCTGATGTCACGTATCACATATATCTTTAAAATGCAAATTAGCTCATCATAGATGGTTGTTTAATATCAAAAACGTAGATTCCATTGCATATACATTTATCTTAGATGATGTACCCCCACCACCGGTAACCCCTGTCTCAGGAGTCATGAAATTCATTAGTTTGGAAGAGGCACTTTCATCATCAGAAATATGTACTAAGATCATTGGCATAATACAAAGAAATAAAAGAAAATATTTTCAAACTTAAGAATAAACGTATTTCACTATATACTAGTTATCATGAGAGCCCCGCCTGAAAAACAGCACCACTATCAAAGGTGCCATGAAATTCACAATTTTGAATTTTGAAAAAAAGGTATCTATGAATTAACTGGATAATCTTCGTAAATATTTCATAAATTACAAAAAAAATTTCAAGACAGTCTATTTTTTAAAAATAACATGCATAAACGCAGCTTCAAAATCAGACTCTTCTTCTCAAATTACCCTAACAGTATCATATCTTATTTACAAAAAAAGTTTGAATGCATGCTTCACTTAAATATAAATGTCATATAAAGATTATAAATATATCGCATTTTTAATTATTTATCATATCCTTTCCGTTCAAAGAGAGCATTAAAATAATCATTCGAACCAAATTTTACATAAAAGTATCACAAACAATATGTACATAACAAAAGATCCTTATATAATGCCTTTCAAATAGTGCATATATTTCAAATTGTCTTCACAATTTCGTCGAATCACTTATGCCTGGATAATTTGTTTGAACTTCATCGCTGTAAAGGCTATATGGAATGTCTTTTGTTGGGAATTTTCTCCTCATTATATATTTAATCAGTTTATCTGTAAGTGTTAATATCACGGTAAACATCTGCCGAGTTGTTAGGAAGAGTCGTATTAAATATGTCTGGTTTAATGTTGATCTCAGGTTTACAATTAGAGTTCTACTGAGTCAAATATATTTGCCCATCTTAAATAGGAATGCGTGAGTTTGATGTTGGCACTGGTAATTCCTGATAGCTTGCATTTCTTCTCTCATGAGAAATATCTTCATAGATACGGTGTTCTTCATTGGTAGAATTCGGTAGCGATTTATTTCTAGCATTTTTCGGATGTAAAGCTCCATAAATTACTTTCAATTTCATATCATGTTAATAAGCATTGGTATGTAAAAAAGCCTTTTTCGGGATAAAAATTTTTACTTTTAATTAGACCTTTTTGAGAAGTTCAAAGAACCTTGAAGCAAATTGAGAGGCATGTAATGAAATTTGTTGCATGAAAAGATTTAATTCTCAAGCTTCATTTAAAGACTTTTTGAATTAAATTATAAATTAAAGAGTTGTCCTTCCTGGCTGGGGTCGGAGTCCCTTAAATCTGAAAGATGAAGAAACAAATATTTAGAATTTTTTATTGATTATTAAATGAATGTAAATCATATCTGTCAATCTAACTGCTTACTCGTCTAAAAACGTGTTACATTTTTACCGCTTTCTCGGAAACACATAATCAATTTTCATATTTAAACGACAGTATCTTAGTATCTTTCTCATCAAACGTTATTACAATAAATGTTCATTTCTTCTTAGAAGGCAATTACCAAGAAAAATAATAGCATATCGTAATTTTAAAAAAATCATCGCAAGAAAAACAAGCATGTAAGAGAGAAAACATTTATGAAAGCTTACTGAATACTCACGTAGTTACATTATTGATTTGTTACAAGGGCCTTATAAAGCGGTGCATTCCATCGCAGAAAAGCATATTTCAAAAAGCCCGTTACGTACAACGTACTCACCTCTAATAGTAAAATTTTATTGTGTTCTAATGCTGTTTCACAAAAAACTAAAAATACTTTATTTTCGTTCAATCTATACACTAGAACAGTATAACTTTTTAAAAAAAAATTTCAAAATCAATAAAAACGAACCTTTAATTATCATTTAACTATCATTCAATCACAAATATAAATTTTAAATGTTAAAAAACAATTCAATGAAAAAAAAGATAAACAGATGGAAGAAGGATATGGAGATAACGAACAGCATTCAATATCGAAGCCCATAAAAATACAAAATAGGAGCAGAGCAATCATGGACCTCCGAAACATCAGAGGTGGGATCAGGTACCATGGAGGAGTGAGCATCCCCTGCTGACCGGTCACACCAGCCGTGTGCTCATTGTTATGATCGTGAAATGACGGAAAATTCGTCTTCAATTCAGTATAAATAATGGACCAACAATTAGTATGAAAACGACAGTCAGCATTTGACTCAAATTGTATTTGCTGACAAGGTCATTGTATCGACCATAGAACTTTCGAAATGATGACTTTAAACGAGACTGCTGATATTCTTGTTTAATCAACTTGCTTGTCAATAATATACCTCGTTTTAGAAATTGTTCATATGTAGAGCATGCTCTTGCGTATCGAATCAACTGAGATATATAGACTCCGTATGCAGGTGATGAAGTGAGGGAATTAGAAGATAGAAAAGTAAAAGTCATCACGTTTATCATGTAGCTTGGTTATTAGATTACAATTAACGTCTTTTTCAAGTAAAATATCCAAGTATGAAACAGCTGTGTCAGACTCTGTGGTATCTTTTATCTCAAGCTCACCAGGATATATCGTATGGACGTAGTAATGGCATTTAGCAGGAAACTTTCTTATTGATTTCATCTTGTCTAGCGTAATATTTAAAATATATATTAAAAAAAAACCATATTAATGACCTATTTAAATAGTTTGTACCCCATTGGAAAATACATGTACTACTCTAAAGCATTGGACAATGTTTAAAGTGTACATATTAAATGATTAAAAAGTTTAAATCTTTCACTCAAAATGAGCTAATGAAATTTTAATACATATTTTTAAGTATGAAAAAATGGTTTAAATTAGAGTATGACCTGTTTTGTGAAAATTTAACCTTGGTCATATTGTTGTTTTGTTACTTTCGATGAACAGGAAAAATATTAGGAAATAAAATTCGTGCAAAGTAATTTTATAAGGAGAGGGAATCAATTGTTTATATTTTTTTATGTATCAATATAAGTGGATTGTCGTATAATCTGAAAGTAAATACTGAAATTGTTCATAATATATTCATAATGATAAGTGTCACAACAGGTGACATACATAAAATGGATTGTTTTTTCTCGAATACATCATTAAATATAAATTGAAACCAAAGAAACATGTTACACGCTGCGAAAGAAATTCGAAATAAAAATCAATAATTAAAATAAATTCATATAATGGATAAAATATGTTATAGAAAGATGGTGAAAAAAAGTTGTCAGCTTCCATATCGATAATGAGCAGTAATATATTAACGGAGAAGTTTCCAATAATCGAATAAATTGGTCCCGTTTTGAAAGAAAAATGATGACGCAAAATATATTCTTATAAATTATGATAAACGTTTCAATACAGATAAAAGTATATAATTATATAACTCATATAATGTATAATGATGAAGAATCTGAAAAACAATTCAACTGGTATTTTATGGCAAAGACTTTATATGCGACAAGAAAAGAGGTGATAAAAGGTCTTTAAAAAGTTAACACAATCTTTATTGTCACAGGCCACGTTTATACTCATTTGAACATATACCGACGTATAACAAAGCCCGTTCCTCTTTTTCATATGACTTTAATAGATGCTTCAGATTTTGAGTTGAAATTTCGTTTGTTATCTTAATTCTTTGCGTGGCTACTTAAATTATGAATATAGAGCTTTCAGATAAGGTTAGCTATGTTAAAATCACGAGGAAAATCAAACAACTCATTTTACAAAATAGTCGGAGACTTGTTTATTAAGATTTCGTGACGTAGTGTTTAGATCTTAACTGAGTAAAATTTGTTTTACAATACAACAAAACTAATTAATTATAAAAAAGAATTACGGTATAAAGAACTGATCACTTAATTGAAAGAAATTTGAAGAAATTATTGTGAGGCTTATAATTTGATAAATGCCATACGTTAGAAATCCCTTTTATTGAACAACATTAAAGAAATCAATATAAGCATGAATAAATAGTCCTGCAAATTATCCATCTCGGTGAAATTGAGAGGAGAGTTCGAGATGGTTAGGTTAAGTCTTGCAGAAATGTATTAACAATGAAAGGTATAAACATTATAGAAGTATACATAATATATGTATACATTAACTGTATTTCTATGGAAAATACACTCCTTACAACTCCAAACAAGCGCCTCAAAGGACATATCATGGACAAACTTTCACCACTTGGTCTTAAGATGTGTTTGAGGGAGTGTTCGGCCAGAACACTTTGTAAATCCCTGAATTTTTGTCGGAATACATTAACATGTGAATTGTCCTCATCTGATGCAGAATCACATCCGGAGGACTTTCTTCACGACTCACAATATACATATGCTGAAAAAATGAAGAAACCACAGGTAAAAAAAACAACGTCCAGTTTATCGAATATTCTTTTTATTATTTTGTTTGTATTTTTTTTAAAAAAATAAATTTATTTTTTTCATTTATAATTTTTTTCACTTTACAACATTTTGTTAATTTTAATTTCATTGTCACAAAAACGATGCAGTTGTTCAAAGAAGAAAAAAATAAAGTATTCTGACAGTGATTTCCAAATAAAGAAAATAGCTCAAATTAAAAAAAAAATAAACAATTGATAAATAAATATATGCTGTAACGGAATACCTGGGCGTCCAATATTATTCAATTTACACATTTATTTTACAGAGATACTTCAAAGAATGTAACGAATCTTGTTCATCGGGTAGCAAATGTGTGATTACAGCTTCAGGTCCAGCTTGTATGATAACTGGTAAGATTATTTGAAAGTGATATACATAATATTATATATTCACTTCGGTACCCCATTACAACTCAAGGTTTTAATATGATAATCATGTACAGAGAAGAATAACTTTAATCAGTAAAAATCTGTAAAACAATTGTTCACTGATTTTACCAGATTTTACGCTTTAATGAACAAAACATTACCAGATAGAAGTTACATTTGTGTAATTTCTAAATGTTGGAAATATCTGAGTTCAAACGAAAAGCAACATTATCAACTTTGAACTGACACGTCATATATGAAAGCAAAATAAATGTTTATTCCGATATCAACATTGATAAAAAAGAACACCAATGCTAATAAGATGTATTTTTTTTGTTTAGTTGTTATGCAATATTAATTGGGAATGTGCTTAAAAGAATAATTGTAAATAACATTGGTTAATCAAATCAAATTCTGTTCACTCAGATTGCTCTAGTCAACATCCAGACAGCCAAGACACCACTGTGTTGGTGAATTCAACAAGAGTCGGTACAGTTCTGAACTATAAGTGCATTATGCTCCCTCATTCTTCTCTTGTCTCTTCATGCTTACCTAATGGGACGTGGACTTCTCAGTCACATCAGTGTACTACAGCACCAGGTAATTTTTGCATTTGTTTATTGACGTGTAGTGAGATCATACACTCACATCAGGTTAACTCATGTTTTGCTTCTGGAAAACGTTACAGTAAAACTGGTTCTATAAAATTAGCTAGAAAACTTTAGAGAACATTTTAAACAATGTAATATTTTGAAAGGGACTTTTAAGGTTTACATAGTATTAGGAAGATTTCAAAATAACATCCAGATTTGACAGTCTAAACGGCAACTGTCTAAGCTTAACTTTGATCGACAGTTGAACGTACGAGGGTTGTCCAATAAGTTCGTGGACAATGACGTTTTTATCAAAAATGAGTTGTTTGAGATTTACTTAATGTATTCAAAATATTAATTATGGAAATCCAAGACTAAATAGATTCGTTTTTATTATTTGAAAAAAATGGAGGTTATTAAAGGTCGCCTATAGTGCGTACGGTCCTAGGTTAAAATGCCACAAACTTAACTTTAAATAAAGTTTTGAAATTTTAATAATTAACTATAGAATGATTATTTTCTTTATAAAACATATCAGAGCTCATTACAAATCAAAATAAAGTGGCTATCGTCAATTTCTATATCTTTTACGATGCATTTTTACTAATTTAAGGATGTGTGTTTTCTACAAATTATACTCATTTAAAATCGAATATGTGGAATTTTTTCACAATTTTTTTAAATTGCAAAAAAGACTATAGCTTTATTTCTAAGTTCAAAATTTATGTTTTTTCTTGCACGCTAATTCCAAATTTATTTAACAATTAGTATTTTTAGAATATTGAATCATTATTTTTCGAAAGAAACTTAACCAATCTTTTATCCGCTAAAGTCTACTAAGTGCAGGTCGATCTGTAGCTCGCTGGTCTAAAAATATTTGGATGGACGACCAGAGAGCTACAGTGTCACCATAGATAAAAGTGTATATTTACTAGAATTGCGCAGAAAAATGTGCGCTGTTTCTCGTTTTAATTATCCGTAAATTTAAGCTGTTATCTCAAAATATCACAAAACATGTGCTCACAACAGATTTTTTTTTACTACTTTCACAATAAAACATTCCCCCAAAGCATTGCTGATAGCCCTCCTGGACCTGAAATTGAGATCATCGAAAATTTCGCCTACATATACTACCACCTTGGGTGGCAAGACAATTCGGCCGAATACTCTTTGTTCATGATATTTACTTACATTTTTGTTATGAAAGTTTGTAAGCTAATGAAGAAACTTTGTTTGATTTTCAAAGCTTATTAAATAAATCCAAATTGTCAATTTCAACGTGATCGTATAGGTTCATAATCAGCATAGACCAATACACTTTGTATACAAATGTTTGTATAATCCGTCCCAAATATATAAGAAGAGGTTAAAACTAAAAGTCCGAAAACTAAGAGTCCAAAATATTTCAAAAGAGTGTTTCAAAAGAAAGTCAAAGAATTTAGTCTCGAATTTAGAATAGAATGCTGTTTTCCGGCCAAACAGGGTATTTTGTACTCAGAGGGTTTTCATGGTCCCGGATATATAAAAGTACTTTTCATTGGCTGTCTTACCATTGCCCTGCCATCTACGCTTTGTCCGTACATGTAGGTCTGTCCGTTGACCTATGAACCCCAACATGGCACCACCCTCAAATACAGGTAAACATACGTAAGTAATATTTATAGACTCATTCCCCATCTCCGAACCACAGGAGTTCTTGCCCTAAGCTCTTTTACTTATCTACTTCAAAGTTTCCAGATTTATTACTCTTGATCAAGAATCTTAATAGTAACTTTGCATTTCCGTTCAAATTTTATTACTAAGTATCGATGGACTGGATGGGTCTATTCTGATCAATTTCCTTACAAAATGATTTACAAAATTATAGTTCATTGTACCAACAACAACATCCAGTTTGTTCTAACAAGGTAATAATAGTTCATGGAATTAAAGTATCTTTTAAAATTATAAAGTCACTGTATGTGGTACAATAATAATGTACATCCTTGATTAATAAAGTTTCATTTTATTTGACTATCACTAATAAGTTTACTATTAATAACTAAAATGATGATGATATGAAGTGATTATAGTCCAAGTTTAAAATGTTCAGATAAAATGTCCGTTCTAAACCCTATATTTCTACAAGTTGCAAAAGTAGTAAAAACCTACATACCGGTATTTGAGTCTCCGTATCACGATTCGTATCAAGCAATGAAAAAATCACGATATACAGGTATACCGATAAAATCGCACGTCATTAGAACACAGATAGAAATGTTTCAATATAGACGGAGAAATAAATCGAGAAATAGCACACTTTTTTGTACGCAATGAATATACACTTTCTAATGGAAACTTTTTTAAAATAAGATATTAGACAACTTAAACAAGCATGAAATGTTCATACGGAACGAAGTAACAGAAAAATTATTTTTTTAGCATGTTTCAACAGTAATACTTCCTGCTGGTACAATTTCAATTTCACCTACATCAGTGGCTGTAATTCCTGTACCGGAACCCGGTATGTCAAGAAGACGAATTATACATCGGCTCCCTATGTTGGAATCATCCTTTGTTCTTCTCAAACACCGTAAGAAGCCCTTAATTTCAATATTCTACCTATATGAATCTATATTTTATAATGTCTCTCTTCAGTTTAAGCTGAGAGTAGCTTGGTGAGAGCCTCGTGTATCAAACTCATCTATTAACATTTTTTTTTATCTTTTATTGCATATTTGAATTAAAAATGCAAATTATACAAGATTCATTTAGAAAATAACAAAATTTACAGGGAATTAAATTCACAAATGACTATTTTTTGTGGTGGAAGAGTATATATATCAGAAAGCTTTTTAATTCTAAAAATATGTTTCATTCAGTATGTTTGAAACTTTAGCGCTACATAATTATATGGAGGTTTCAAGTGATGTTTTAAGAACACATTTCGCACATTTTCTAACATAATTAGCCAAAAATTGTAGATTTATGGGAGAATTTAAAATGAAATTAACCATAAAGGTACATTTTACATGCTTGAAAATTTCATAACTACTTGACAGAGCGTTTATATTTCAGCAGCTTAAATGCTCAGAAAACGTAGCTAAAATTGTTTGCTGGTAAATAGTCAGAAGACAAATAACCTTCTGTTTTTAGAAAGTAATTCAAACTAAAACGAAATTTTGGTGAAGAAATTTGCTTGGGCTGTTACATAGTTACATATTATGTAGTTGGAAACGTTAATTGTGATTACTTGTCAGTAGTCAAGTAAAACATACAGTTAAATATATGGCTAGATTTTCCTATGTACTGTAAATGTGACAAGCTATAGACCATGAGGTATTTATTTTTACCGGGTATATTACAGTCTTTACAGATATAAGATAATGTTGGGATCCAATCTTTCTGACACTTTCTATGACGTAGCAGAAGATTTGTCGAATGTTGGTGGTTCTCAACACGACCATTGTGAATTAGTAGGAGGAAGAGAAGATACATCATACTGTTATGATCATCATGTAAACCTAGGCGATAAAAGTATATTCATATTACTTTATGATCAAAGTTTGAAGAAAGGTGTTTCTGTAATTAAATTTTATTTACATTTCAAATAAACTTGTCACAATTTAAACGAAAAATTTTACCTCAGAAAATTTTCAATGTTTTTCGAGAGAAGTTTTATCACCGATATCATATGTTAGTTCAAAATATATCTGATAGACGTTTGATATTTACATTTTTTCGTTATGCTTGATAGTTTATTTTCGGAAATTTTCCGGTCAGCAATTCACATTCGATGAAGTAAGAGATGGTTATCATTATCACAGTTGCTGTTATTATGAATGTCGAGTGGTACTTCCATTTTTACCCGAACCAGGTATTATTTTTCAATATGTAAAATACCTAAAGCAGAGAAAAACAAATCAGCGAACATTTATTTGCATGAAGAAGATACGGTATAATAAACATTAATGTAAGAAAATAAATGTGTAGCTGTTTAATTCATAATGAATTTTGCAATTTCCAAATTGAAGAAAAAGGAAAAAAAAACACACATATATAAAATTAATAAACATTCTCATTCGGAAGAAAATATACGACAATTTACGAACAATAATCGTAAAACTATTATAATTAGTGAAAAAAATTGGCATTATCAATCGAGGAATGGCATATTTATATTTTCTTGAAAAAGACTGAAGAGCTGGCTAGCGTAGGAATTCGCATTTCTGGGGAAAAGTGATTTTCTTAAAATCTTTGAACGCTTATTTTTCGTCTCTTTAATGTTTTACATATACATCATTATTCTATATATTTGTGATGTATCTACTGATCATAAATAAAACTATATTTTTCAGAGCAATTGTTTGAAGAGTTCTTGACTTTGGTAATACATCTTGAATAGATAGTATGCACTGATCGAATATATTAAAAACATGCAATATCTCCTACACTGAAAAATCCTTGTTTACCTAATATAGTTATTATTATCAATGCGCACGGTGGATCGTATCACGAATTATTCGTTGAATAAATAACAACGTTTACGCCAACTATGTATGTTTACTTTTTACATTGAACACCTGGTTCAGGTCATTCTACGATCGATATTGAATTGTTCTTATGAGAAAAAACAAAAAAAAAAAAATTAGAAACTATGAAAGATGTCACGGAGGTTTGCAATTTGTTGTGCACTAGAAAATATTTATTATACCCCCCGCTTGAAAAGCGGGAGGGTATATAGTAATCGTTAATTCCGTCCGTCTGTACGTCTGTCCGTCCGTCCGTCTGTCTGTCCGTCCGTCTGTCCGTCCGTCTGTTACGCTTTATCTCTTATCCGCAACTCCTCTTATACTACTGAGTGAAATTTAATGAAACTTTCACAGAATCTTTATTATATATTGCCATTGTGCACCTCCTATTTTACTTTTTTATTCCACACGTATTTTAGGTTTCCCATAGCAAAAACATGGACATTGCCATTATATCTTTACCTATGACGTCATATGTATAGAAGCTTCTGGATAACATTTAATAGGACGAGTTATTCCTCTTTACACATTACCGTAAAACAATATATAGCAACACATGGACATTATGGGAGGCGGGGGGTATCATTTAGTGAGCTCATTGCTCACAGTACCTCTAGTTAAAAAATGTAGTCTGTGCCAAGTTCAGAACATCAGCACTTCTAATGTAAGGAAATGAGCAGCATTTCTTTGGCTTTAAATGGACAACAAGTTTTTTTTGTATCAGAACAATACCAAAGATCACAAGTGTTTTTGACCAGGGATCCACCTGACAATTGCATTCATCGATAGTACAATGAATTAATAGCAACGCAAATCACCTTGCATTAGAGCTTTGAGTAACCTAGAATTCCACGTTTATTCAACAAATGAATTGTTTATAAATGCAATTGTCAGCATGGAAAAATGGAATGAAATATACTGATTGCTTTTCAATTAAAAAATGCAGAAACTTCTTTGTGTCCCTTCGATTGCCATTGAATTTGGGTTTTTTTTTACAGCGTAAAATTCCTGTAGAATCTCTAGTAAGGCACAATGTAATTCTCACTTACATTAAGATGTTTTGTCAGTTAAAGCCATGTTGGTACCTCATTTGCTACATGTAATCTGACGCCAATAAATATAGTTCCACTTCCCATGCAAGTATGTTTGTCCAAATAGAAATTTTAATACATGACTTCAGAAAATAATACCATAAAGGATGCTTATTAAAGTTTGAATTATTCAGGAGAGATTAAAGTACATTTCTACAGATAATACATGTATCGGATGGTGAAAAAAAACGCATAATGATATTTCTATTTACTGTGTCTCCGCGTGCTTGTACATGTAACTTCATAGCCATTTACCCTAAGTCGCTTTAGTCTTGCTGAATCTCGCCAGAGATACTGCGATTTAGTCTGAACTCTTTGGGTTTTATAATTTACAAATCACCGAAACAAGGTTCCTAACACATTAATAAGCATTGTATAGGTAGATATATGCACGTTGCTATATATGAAATTCCCAAAACAAGACGGTAAATTCTATTGATTACTTTTTATTGAAATAGAACTATTTTCATTTGATAATGAAAAGACATTTTCATAAGAACCTACACGCGATCATTGTAAATCTTCATGCAATGAATTAAACAACAATTCTTTTCAAGAATACTGTTTTATTCTATTTCGGTATATTCAAACTATAACTGCATCGCAGAAATGTTAACATAGCATATTACCCAAATTTAGAATAAAAAGTTTTCTAATTTTATGAATTATTTACACAAGAATTGAACATTCTTATACCATTAATAAGATATCGAAATTATTTATCTACTGTTTTGTTTGACATTTCATAAATAAGAATGTATGTACGAGTACATTATTTTGAGTATCATATCATCACATTTCTTTAAGCTACCAATTAAGATAAATGATCAACTCTCAGTATTATTTTTTTATCATTATTACTTAATGATTTGGTAGACTGCTTCAATACCTCAGGATCCTGTTGGTATCGGTATAATTTTGCTACTGATGGTTCATGGAATGGTTGTCCTAATGGTGAACGCTACATCAAAAACACCAATTTCAGTTCAGCCCCTATTGTAGGCATCGTACGATGCAATCAGGAAAGGCAAGTACAGATACAATAAATAGTACAATTGAAGCACACATATATCTACAACATTAATAAAAACTTTTGATAAAGAACTAATCGGTAATTTCAATATGTTTTTCTGTTGGGGCTAGACAATCTAGTTAAAGAGCATTCAGTTTTCTACTAAGATCTTATCCTTGCGTTCTTATAGGGGAAAATCAAAATTCCAATACGGAGAGCAATATCAAATATTTTAAATTAATCATGCCGCTTTCTAGACATACCCCGGTATTCATGAGTGAAAACACGTTTTAACAGATATTGGTATCACATTATTAGATGAAGAAATGGTAGTTTATCTAGAAATTTATGCAGTAATTTTATGTTTTCTCTCTGTTTGTTTCAATATTATAACCAATGCCAAACTATTTTGGCACAGTGTACAAAGAGTTTACGAATATAACGTAAACATACAATGGAAGCATCACCCATGCCGGGGATTAAATTTGCAACTCCAAGATTGTCAGTCCAAAAGCTACCGATTCTGTCACGGATGATGTTTTCTCTAATTGTGTATTTTGATTGATTGTATATATTGTTTAACGTCCCTATCGAGAGTTTTTCACTCATATGGAGACGCCACCACTTGCCGGCGGAGAGTTGCAAATTTTGAGCTATACTCGGAACTTAGGGACATTGAACAGGGAGGGATATTTTTCGTGCCAGCACCCACTGCGGTATTAGTAAACTTCAATACATATGTCGACTCAAAATATCCCAGTGAACTAAAAAACAGAATTTCTACAGATTACCTCCTCTAGATCTTTTTCATAAAATGTTTTGCTGTCTGTAACAGGTTAATGTCTAACTAATACTTAACTTGTATGAAATGAACTGACTTCAGCTTTTTCATTGTAAATCTACCTTATGTAATAATATTCAACCATTTCACGTGTATGCAAACAAGGCCATGTTTCCAACTATTGCTGATGTCATGTCATACCCAACAAACTAGACAATGATTCCTTAAATACACACTATCATTGGGTTGTATATTCCATATCATTTGTAGGACATTATTCGGTGTACTTGATCAATATTTAGGGTTATTGGCAGGTTTGAATGGTCGACAAGGGATATCTACGTTCCTAAAGCACCTTGTATAACCTCTGGAACTTATATGACTCCCTGTTTTATGCACGTTTTACATATTTATATTGTTTGTACATTATCTGAGATGGATAACTTTTCCTTATCTTCTTTTTTCATTGAAACAATTTATATATATAACAGATATCAAATATATTTGGGAGCCAGTAAAACAGATGTATTTCTAAATGTTGGTGATAGAAATGGTGGTGGTGAGGATCATTGTGAACTTGTAGGAGGACTAGAAACAAATGCTGTGACAGCAAACAACTCAAGCAGCGCACCAATGATGAAAGGTTTTACCGTTTTTTTTAACATTAAGAATTATGCTTACACTGTACCTCCTAAAATTTGTCATAAAACAGCAATTAAATTATGTAAACAAGCTTACAGTACAGGCTTGTAAAACTTTTTAAAGGCAATTATGACCTTGGACGTCCATAATATTGCTTCGATTTTCCATTGAATTTTGTCATAAAATGATCTCACATCATAATCACTCTTACTATGTTTTCATAGCAAAGAAAACCAGAAGCATTAAAAAAAAAGTCTGTAGAACACTTAGCTTTTTGAATTATTTTCAATCTTTAGAAACTTTTATGAAAGAGACTTTTAATCATTTTACTGTTGACTTTACTTCTTTTCTCATTTGGTAAGGATATTGTCGATCGGACTTTGGTCAAGAATTTGTCATAGGTAACATCGGTATCAATACGGGATGTAAAAGTAGTTCTTGGTATGAATGTGGTGTAAGCGTTCCATCTGATGAGTAGAAAACCTTTACGAAACACGGGACATAATATCTAATTCAAGCACATTTTTTGTTTATTACACTTTACCTATATAATTATATAAATCACATTTATATACCGATTCAGCATTCCAAAGACGTTGAATTTCCTGAATTATTGTAGATGTATTTTTTAATTGCTTGAATATGTATTAATATTAAATATCAAAAAAGTATTTACCTGATCGTTTATTCTTCAGAACCGGAATAATTTATTGCTACAAAATTTTTGGACTTCACAAGTAAAGCTTCAAGATTATTAACCTATATGATTTTAAATATTAAAAACTTAATGCATGTTTGTCGTACGAAATATTTACCTTGTAAAAAGGTTGAATTTCGTTTTACTTGTGTTATTAGAATTATAATTATAGAATATATTACATAGTTTTTACTATTTGCATATTATTAGTTTATACTTTAAAGTGAAAATAACTAGAGGTACTATGAGCAATGAGCTCACTAACTGATAGTGCCTCACATATTATTATAATGGAAAAGTTTGTGTTTTGCCCCGGAAGACCCGAAATAAGTGTCAGATAACAAAGAAAAAAGAAGAGGTGCACAATGGCATTATGTAATGAAAAATCTGTAAAAATTTCACCAAGAGGTATAGGAGAAGTTGAGGATAAGAAATAAGTATCTAAAAGCGTAACAGACGGACGAATGGTCGGAGATTTCGATCACCATATACTAGTACCCCCGCTTTTTTCAAGCGGGGTATATATAATAATAATTGGACTTTGAATGTATCGAACTTTAATCATATTTATCGCATTAAATTTCTTTGTATTGCATTATACAATAGTTTATTGTTACTATTTCTTTAATGAACATAATGCATTTTCTATTTAAGAGTGGTATCACTACAACGTTTCTGTCGTGGACAATGGATTGAATGGCTGCCCTTCAGGTGTGTCATACGTGCAGAATACAACAATTGATTCCATGCCTTTTGTAGCTGCAGTCGTTTGTAACAATTACGGGAATATGAGGTCAGTTTTGATTAGATATTTGCACAAGATGCAGTTACTTTTTATGGCAAAAGTTTGTGAATTACAAAAAAATCGAAATTTTTTTCAATGTTTATAATATTTTTTGTCAGATATAAACTCTTTGGAGGTTCGAGTCTATCTGGTACTTTCATGGAAATATTACTCTATAGCTCTTGTGATAATAACTGTGACTTGGTCTATGGTTACCCCTATGATGAAGTGCGCTCTACTTTAGCATCAGCATTTAGCTCCAATTGTCACTATATGTATGATTGCAGAGCATATCAAGGTAAGAAAATGATAGGATGAAAAACTAAGTATTTAAGTATATTTAATTTTATAGGACCCATGTTTCAGAGCTTTTCATGTCGTTTATAGTGAGTTAGTTTATGAAAAATAATAAATTCACATATATCCTGTACATGTATATAATTATGATAAATGTAAATACATTATGATTCTAATAAAGAATGTCATTTATAGCAATGTACTAATGTCAGTCCATGTATTTCATATCAGTTATGCTCAATAGAAGTTAAAAGCTAAATTGAGTGGAAGATTTCATATTTATTTTACAAGAAGATTGATTCAACGTCAAAAATGAACGCAAAACATTGATGACATGCATAATTATGGCTTTTTTTTTAAACTGAGAAAACAATTATGTGAATACCAAATCAGTCATACAGTATATTTTGAAATTGTATGGAATGATAGGCCTGTATACTTTTTTTTAGATTAATATAATAATATTCAACGGCGATCATTATATCTGCTAAATTTGGATTTCTGAACTGATAACTGTTTAAAGTGATTTTCGACTAAATTTTCAACATTGGAAAGGACTGTACATGTGTTTGTGACAATTCAGCAAATGCATGTAATTCTTTTCGCACTCTTAATGCGTGAGTTAATTTTAAACTGTTGGGTGAATATTAAAATAAAATGTCCATTATGATGAAAGTGATGATTCTTAAAAATATATTTTATTGCAGTTTACCAGATACTATTCTCAAAACATGAAATAAATTAAATGAAATTAAACATCAAATTTACTTGGCAGATAATACACCCATTCCTAATCTTGTGATGTATAATCAAACTTTCACCATTTGTAAACAAATTTTATCTTTGGATTATTTTCAGGGAGCAAGTCAGGATATGTATTTCTGTAATCATCCTTAATGTGAAAATTGTGCAGGAATGTAAAATAAAATAGACAATATTCGAAGACAAATGATTAATATTGAAATAAGCTTCAAATTTGATTTATGATGCATAATTTTCCATACTTTTTCTCTATTATTGCATGATTGATGAGTTGTTTTACAGGTCATACTTTCGTTATTTAATTCACATCACATGTTTTTGTAGGTTATTACCGAAACAGTAATAATGGACAGTTACGTTATCAGACGGGATGTCCATATAATTATAATTATTACAGTCACATATACACTGAATGTGGAATTCAGGTACCTTAAAACTGTCATAAATAATAAAACAGTATACAGTTCTTACATCTCAGTGATTAATATTGTAAATATTGTTCAACATGTACTACACACCAGCTAGAAGTGAGTGGACTACCCTCTTTTCAAATGTGATATGTACAATCGGAGTACCACCAGGCTGCGTGCTATCTTGTAGCACAGTTACAAATTCATCGTTTTTGTTATCCTGACCCATTGTGGAAATCCCATGCCATTGTGAAAAGTGAAACTGTCACCTAGAAATAAAGTTTTGGTTTCATTAAAGACCGTAACTTCTGAAAAAAACAATTGTGATTTTACTTATACCAACTTTTATTGTGAAAAATAAAATGCGCTGCTTAAACATCTAATATTTGATATTATTTAATGAAATAAGGTAATCACGTAAGGCAATATTATCTTATTTTTATTTTTTTCAATAAGTTGATATTTCAATCCAGTTACCAACCAAGGTTCAACGGTGTTAAATTGAATGTAGACCGTTTATCTATACCGCATCTAAATATATGGCATAGTGATCATGAGGTTGTCATTCGTTAAAAGTAACTTTTTCCAAAAATCCCAAAATAATTGTACACTTTTGAACTTTTTCTATGGTTTAAGCCAGCTCAGTACATGTACATATTCTTTTTTTAAATATTTTTTTTTAAGTCTCATTTCTACGGAAGCCCGTTGAGGTCAGTTCAGAGAAACAAATATTTTTTATTGCGTTTAATCACAATAATTATTGCGTTTAAACGCAAAAAATTGCGTTTAATCGTAATAATTATTGCGTTTAAACGCAAAACATTGCGATTGTTTTGCGATTGATCGCAATAATCATTGCGTTTAAAAGCAAAGCACTTTGCGTTTAATCGCAAAAGATTGCGTTTAAACGCAATAATTATTGCGATTAAACGCAATAATTATTGCGATTAAACGCAATAACATTTTTGCGTGTAATCGCAATGATTATTGCGTTTAATCGCAATAGTTTTGCGTTTAATTGCAATAATATTGCGATTAAAAGCAATATTTTTTTGCATTTAAACGCAATAATCTTTGTATTTAAAAGCAATTATTTCTATTGATCTTTGAAGAGTGCAATGGACCCACGCTGATGTGTAGTAACCTATGAGGAGAATTGTTTATTGTTAAGCTTTATAGAATCAGGTTCATTTTCTGAATGGTTGTTTTAAAGAGGAGAAGGAAGTGTCGGTCTGTTAAAACAAAAAAACCTAAGAAAGAAACAAAACTTCAGCATGTATAGATATCTATATTCCTGTTAAAGTTTGGTTAATTGCTTACAAACACAAATGACATTTCCTATATTGCTTTCTCTACTTTGAAACTTTAAAACTATGCAAACAATTTTAAAGGATGTTCGAAATAAAAGACCGGAAAAGAAATAATGATTGAAAAACTATCACTCCACTTTGCGATCACCAAGTTTAAACCCTGTACCTGTATAAAGGGTTTAAGGAAACAACTGATAAAATGTTTTGACTTATGTACATGTACATATTATGTATATGTATATACACAACCTTTCCTTTGATCACATACGTAAACACGAGAACACGGGAATCATATGAAATCAAAACTAAGTAAAATGAAAACAGATTGGCCGATGTGTTCTACCAAATTGAGATGTCTATTAATACCACTGAAACATTCTTAATTAGCTGTGATATCTAAGAAAATGATTAATGGCTGCGTTAAAAGTCTCTAATAGCTTTAAGAAACTTGGTTGTTATGATGCCATTGTAAAACTTAAAATATCACAAACTGCAACATTTTCAAAGAGACACAAAACCAAACGGCTCTTCTTTAAAGAATTGCACCATACTATTTATTATAATCTTTGCGATTAAACGCAAAAAAATTGTTGCAATTAAACGCAAAAAATCATTGCAAAAAACCATCTCAATATTATTGCGATTAAACGCAAAACTTATTGCATTTAATCGCAAAAGTATTGCGTTTAAACGCAAATTTTTTTGCATTTAATCGCAATATTATTGCGTTTTAACGCAAAAATTATTGCGATTAAACGCAAAAGTATTATTGCGTTTAAACGCAATGATTATTGCGATTAATCGCAATGTTTTGCGTTTAAACGCAATAATTATTGCAATTAAACGCAATGTTTTGCGTTTAAACGCAATAATTATTGCGATTAAACGCAATAAAAAATATTTCTCTCTCTGAACTGGCCTCAACGGGCTTCCGTACATTTCCTCGTTTTAAAAGTGGTTGATTTGTAACACACATGAATTTTTTTTCTTGTAATCCACCCTTTTTAAACAATGTTCAATTCAGCACTTAAAGTATATATAACATTTTTTTTCCATCCATCCCTACATGTATCTTACCATTCAAGTATCTTCGAAAGTGTGTTTTCTTTGCATATTATCACTTTAATAAAAATATACTGACACGCAAAAGAAAAGCAACATCCTACTTTAGGGGGAAATAATTATGTAAAGTAAAGAATTTAGTATCTTAAAATTGTGGATATCTTCAATTTGGTACATATCGGTAATTTAACGGTTGAACGATTTTCGAATCATAACCGGAAGTCATGTTTGAGTCTGCTTAACAGAAATTAAAAATTGCATATTTAACAAAATATTTGGCAAAATTGTGGAGATTTAAGGGTTTTTACTGTTCATCTTAAGTAATGCAGCATTATTTCAAAAAATAAAATCTCCTTTCGTTTCCTATAATGATGCTATGGCTTCTGGAAAATGGCTTAAGTACGCATTACTATTGCTGTAACTGGAAAATCTCAAGGTAAAAGTGATGGAGAGTTGGTGATGCAAAAATACACTGCATTGCGCCTCAACGGGGTCTTATGTATCAAATGCATAAATGATAGTCCTTGGACCGGAAGTCCAAGGGCTACTTCAATGCGCTAAGTTAGAGAAAATTCGACCTAATCATCTGAAAAACAGGCATTTAAAAATGGCAAAGAATAATTCCTTCGCTCAGATCTCGATATTGATTAACCTATTGTATCGTAGAAATTAAGCTGCAATTGTTGTTTAGGGCAGTCTTGCACGTTGTAATTGAATGCATATTGCTGGGAGGGGTGGTTTAACAGTCATATGTAACTTAGCAAAGTTAAAAGGTAAACATTTAATATTTTTATCAAATTTCTTATGTTCTGAAAGGTGAGTTTAGCTTACTGTATTCTTTTTTTGAAAATCGTTAGATAAAAAGTTCAAACATTTGTACATTACTGATTGTTGCGTTTCTTTTGCGTGTCAGTATACCGGTATATTATCTGACCATGCAACACACTTTATTGAGAGTATACATAATTATTTTGTCAGTAATTTTGCATTTATTGGGTTTTTTTTCTCATTTAGAAGCTTTGGTGCATTCAAATGTTGAAAATAAGGTTAGAAAAAAAATACAGATGACAAAATTAATGATCAGTATATTTTTATCGGGATGTTAGCACATTAATTAGACTGCCACATGCCTTTTTTAGCTCGCCTGAGCCGAAGGCTCAAGTGAGCTTTTCTGATCACATTTTCTCCGGCGTCCGTCTGTCTGTCTGTAAACTTTTCATATTTTCGACTTCTTCTCAAAAACCGCTAGGCCAATTTCAACCAAACTTGTCACAAAGCATTCTTAAGTGATGGGGGATTCAAGTTTATTCAAATGAAGAGCCACACTCTCATTTAAGAGGAGATAATTGGGAATTAAGGATAATTTGGTGGGGTGTTTTAAAAAATCTTCTCAAAAACCACTGTGCCATGAAAGATGAAACTTATGGGGAAACATCCTCAGGTAGTGTAGATTCCATATTGTTCAAATCATGGCCCACGGGGGTAGGGGCGGGGCCAAAATGGACGACCAAAGTTTTTCATATAAATACATAGGAAAATTCTTAAAAAAATCTTCTTTTCAAGAATGACAAAGCCAAAATTCATCATATTAATATGGAAGCATCCTCAGGTAGTTAGATTTCATTTTGTTCAAATCATGACCCCCAGGGGTAGGTCGGGGCCAAAATGGCCGACCAAAGTTTTACTAAGAAATACACAGGAAAATTTATTAAAAATCTTCTTCTCAAGAATAGCAGAGCCATAATTCATATTTATATCGAAGCATCCTCAGGTAGTGTAGATTCCATTTTGTACAAATCAGGACCCCCGGGGTAGGGTGGGGCCAAAATGGACGACCAAAGGTTTTCATAGAAATATATAGGATCATTCTTTAAAAATCTTCTTCTCAAGAATAGCAGAGCCATAATTCATCATAATTATATGGGAGCATCCTCAGGTAGTGTAGATTCCATTTTTTTAAATTATGACCCCCGGGGATAGGGCGGGGCCAAAATGGCCGACCAAAATTTTACATAGAAATATATAGGAAAATTCTTTTTAAAATCTTCTCAAGAATTGCAAAGCCATGATTGGTCATGGGACTACTTTTGGATTTAAACTTTTGAATAATAAACCAATTTCTTCTTTTTCCTAGCCGCAGTGCTCAGGTGAGCGATGTGGTCCATGGGCCTTTTGTTTGTTTAGAAAATTGTAGACGTTTTTTTCATTTAAATTACATTATGAATCCTTGAATCTTAAATCAAAATCTGTAATAGATGTAGGGCATAAAGATGTCAGAAGTCGATAAGATCAAGAGCTTCAGGACAAACGCAATGTACCTTACCTACTGATAATTTTTCAAGATATTTTAAATGTAAACTTATTATACCATTACATGTTCTTAGACAAAAAATCAGCATTCCTTACCAGGGATTTTGAAACGATATCAAATTTTGAAATTTTTTGCATTATTCAAAGAAAAATCTACAAAAATTACAAGAAATAATCTCCAGATTTTTTTCTCATTAAAAATTGTTTAAGAAGAGGTGTACCAATCCATATATAGACGTTAAAAATATTGCACACAGGTCTTTCATTTAGTGGAACTCTTCAATTCCAGGGAAGAACTCAATAAAGTTCAAACTACGTTGCGTATGACCTTAAGAAGAGTAGTAAGCATTTCCTGTGGACCGGTCACACCGGCCTTGAGTCCTACATGTATATATTTTCCAGATTACAAAGTAATCGAGTCAAATTCAATATCAAACACAGATATTGCAACTGGTATGGAATATACTGTATGTGTACTAAAAAAAACCTGGCTTCATATTTAGGTGGCTTTGGTGCATACATGTACAGCGATGCGCTAATTCATGATAATCGTTAATAAATGATTATGATATGATTTTT